TGTGAGTGGTAGTGTTGATGTGGGTTGCCGGGGTAGCTTGTGGTGGGGGACCTGTCCAGTATGAGTGTAGGCGTTCGGCGTCTTGTGGTGGGGTATGTGGTGAGGGAGAGGGTGAACGGCTGGAAAGTCCGGGTGGTAGTGGAAAACCTGGCGGTATGTTGTGTAGCATGGCCAGGTTTCTGCTGGAGAGTGTGGCTGTGGGGTTGATGCGGTATTGTCCTGGGAGCCCGGGGCCGGTGGTAACAAATTGAAGGAGCCGACGAGCCTGGGAGAGGTTATCGATCAGGCGGTCCAGCAAGATCAGGTCACCGCGCATTCGGTAAAGGAGGTTGTATGCTCTCTGGTCTTGAAAATAGGTCTTGCTTGGCATAGGTTCAGTGTGAAATGGGTGACGGCGGAGGTGCTGGTTGACCAGAAAGAGGAGGTCCAAAGAGCCGTTGAGGGATTGAAAATCGGGCTGAGTGCTAATTGAAGGTTGGAGCCAGCTCGGAGGGCGCTGTGGGAGGTAGTGCTCTGTGTCGGCGGTGTTGCTATGAGGGCGAGCGTGAGGATTGGCCATGACAATTGATGGAATGAAATGGCGTACAAAAGGCTGCGGAGCTGGATTGAGCCTGAAAACTGACAAATCTAAGTTTGGCAACCTGGTGAAAGTAGACTGGATGTGAAAAACTAAATGTCAGTGCACGTCAGTGGATTTGTCCTGCGGCACGCCGTAAAGAAAGGTGGGTGAAACGGGTCAAATGAAATAACTACCAACGGGCGTAAGTGGAGATTTCTCCGGATGACTGTCTTCACTAAGTTCTCGCTCAGCAGCCGGCGTCAGCAGCGCAGCAGCAGGAGTTGTTTGATGTGGTGAAGTCGGTGGCGTTGTTATGGGGGAAGGGGAGAAATCCGGTTGTGAATGTGGTGCTGGGGAAACTGCTGGTGATGTGGGTGTTGGTGATGGGGAAGGTGCTTGTCTTGGTGGTGCGGTTGACAGTGGTGTGGAGAAGAGTTGCTGGTCCTGCTGACGTTGCATGTCTTTGAGTTCTTGCCATCGGGCTCGGCATTGCTCTACGGAGAAGCCCACTCGGCGAGCCACAGTGGTCCAGTTGGGACGAAGTCTGGGGTTTTCTTTGAGTTCGACCAGGCGACAGTCGGCGTCGCCGTCCCAAGCATCCCAGTCCGCCTGTTGGTTCAGTGGTGGTGGGGGTGGTTGCTTCCGCTTGCGTGTTGTGGTGGGTTGTGGAACTGGGGGTGTTGTGGGAGTGTCGTCTGAGTCTTTTGAGGGTGGTGCTGGTAAGCGGAGGGGTGGTCTGGATGGTGCTGAGTCACAAGATGAGGTAGTAGATGGTAAACGTATAGGGTGGTTGGGTGGGGTTGGAAGTGGCTGAAAGTGTTGGCGGAAAGTGGGATCCGCTTGGTGGATATGGTGGAGGAACTGAGTGTGGAGGTGTGCTACACTATCGGTTGCTTGTCTGAGCAGGTTCTGCAGCTGGGAAAGTACCACTGTGGTTCTGTGTATGAGAGTTGAAGTGTCGTTGCGTAGAGGTGTGGGTGTGCTGCTCATGGTTCGGAGATGTAGGGATGTACAATAGCACGGAATCGTCACGGGTTGCTGCAGCAGCGCGCCAGAGCCAGCGGCGAGTCTGAGAGAGCGCATCATCACGAGGCCGTGCATATGAATTAAGCGAGCATCAAATTTCCACAGGCAAAGGTAGGAAAATGCAATGCCGGTTGGACAGTCAAGTATATGAGAATCTGACATGTGAAACACTCCATCAGAACAGCCGGTATAAATTGAAGAAAAAATTTACAGCAAACACTGCAGAGCTTGAAAAATTGAGGGTTCAAAATTCGCGTGGCCGCTGCAGGAGGCTCTTTTTGGCTGCTACGAGCAAAGGTTGGGTGGTGGTGTGAGACCAAAAGTGGATGTGGGGGTGGTAGTGGTGTGTAGATGTGGGAGAGTGGTGTTATGTGTCTGGTGGAGTGGAGTTTGTGGACCAGGCCAGTCCTTTGACAATGGCGTGGTCCGGGTGGATCACCCAGCAGCGTCCTTTCTGATGAAAGACTGCACCATGGTGGTCGTTAAGGAGATTCATGGCGTGTTCCTCACCTCCGGAGGTATATTTTGTGGCAGCACCCCAAGCGAGGAGTGTGATGATAAGGGAATGGGAGTTCTTGTGGAGTTGCCAGGTGTTGTGGATGATGCGGGCAAGTTCGTTGTGGTCATGGGGTTGGTTGTGGGTGATGCGAACGCCCTGGGCAAAAAATCCAGGGTAGTTGGCAAAGTGGAGTGTGCTGGGTAAAAATCGGCCTTGGCGTAGAATGTTGGAAATGTTGCCGACGGGGCCTGTGTGGCCTGCGTTGATGTGGGCGACTTCCCGGTGGGTTGATGTGGCTCGGGAAACCGCAGGTGGTTCTGGTGTAGTGGCTTTGGTGTTGAGGAAGGGAAGTGAAATGGCGTAGTACTGGAATTGGTCGTATTGGTGAGTTGTGTCGTTCCACTTGGCGTGAGTGTATTGTCGGAAATCGGTGATCTCCTTGTAGGTGATTTTGCAGTCTGTGAGGATATTGGCAATGTACTGGTGTTGTGGTCGGTTGGGATTGTCGAGTTGGGTGGCGTGGAATTCGAGCCATTCCAGGATTTGGTCTGCAGGTGTAAAGGTGTGAAAGTTGGGTGGAGGTCGCCAACGGTTGATTGGGCGACGGAGGACGGCTGTGGTGGGAAATTGAGAGGGGTCTGGGTTGGCGTGTTCAGTGTTAGGGCGTAAATCAATGGGTTGTGGTGGTGAGCGACTGCGGGATGGCGTAAGGCTGGATGTGTAAGTGGATGTTGAAGGCGACCGCCGTCGCCGGGTTGTACTGTGATGCTTGGAGTGGCGGTGATGGCGATGTCGGCGGCGGTGGCGGCGGCGTCCTCTGTGGTGATGGTCGGACTTGCGTCGGCTCTTGTGTTGGTGGCGGCGACTGCTGTGTGGTGGTTGCGGGGAAGGTGGTTGTGGTGCTGGTGAGGCAGTGGTGTCAGGTTTGTCTGGTGCTGGTAGTGAAGATCCGGGCGCTGGTGTGGCTGATACTAGCGATGGGGATGCAGAATGTTGGGATACGGTAGCTGGAGGGGTCGTGTTTTGGACCGGCAATGGAGTGTCCGGGGCAGTCGTGGGGATGGGTTGGATTGGTGGTGTTGGATCCGATGGTGGCTGCTGTTGGAGTGGAGATTGGACTGGTGTTGGGGCGCTGATGGTTTGTGGAGGTGGTGGCAGGGGCAACGGTTGGAGTGGAGGCGGCTGCCAAACGCCCTGGGGGAGGGCGCATTGGGGGTCTGTGGATGGATAATTGGTAATCGCAGTCTGTTGCTGTGTTGGAGGGGGATGGGCCAGGGTAGTGGGGGGAGGAAGTTCTGCCGGTGGTGTGGGATGTTGTGGTGGTAACAGGTATGAAGGGGGAGGTGCTGCTGTCGGAAAGACTGGAGTTGGATGTGTGGGCTGCGGTGGCACGTGACATGGTTGCACAAACGTCCAAGTGGATGGTGTGCCGTAGGTCATTGCAGTGGCGGTAGGGTTGGACAAAAAAGGTGGTGGTTGAAATGGTTGTGGTTGTGGGTGAGGGTATGCCGATGGTTGTGTCGTGGGATAGGTGGGTGCAGTTGATGGCTGTGGCAGCGGCCATGTGGGTTGAGGTTGTGTGGTAGGTAATGGCGGTGGCGTGGTGTGAGCGTAGGGCCACGGAAAATGCATGTCGTGGTCGTAGCTATGGCGCGGCGCGGCGCGGCAGCAAAAAGCAGCGGAGAAGTGCCGAGTTGTATTGTCTTGTTGTTGTTGAAGGTGTCATCTCTGGTGTCAATGGTGAGTATGTTGTAAGGTGGTGCTAGATGTGAGCTTGTTGGTAGGTGTGTGTTCATGCATCTCGAATTAAACTGAAGAGCTGTAATGCCCATCCTTGAGTTCTGTCGATAAAAGAATCACGGCATCATATAGCAAACGTGGAAACACGCACATGATTTGAAGACATGAAATGAAAGGACGAAGCTGAAATCTGAAAGTTGAAATCCGATGTATTCTTTAAGAAACCGTTTTTTGGCCCGGCGGCCGGTGTGGCAGTTGATTCTGTGAGGGTGTCGGTGCCTTCCTGTGAGAGTCCAGTGAGCGGTGGTGCGTTGGGGTGGTTGCTTTCCCATGCAAGATCGGCGCCCCTGTGACGGGGATCACACTCAGCACCCGAGTGGGACGGCTGAGCAGGACACACTTCGAACTTGGGTTTTCAGTTAACGCAATTGTCTCGTTGGG